CCAACCCTCTGATCGGCCCTGCTCTGTGTGTGACATGGTAGAGCCATAACCTCTCCATCGGCCCTGCCCCGAGTGTGACAGTGGTGGCGCCCCAACCCCCTGATCGGCCCTGCTCTGTGGGTGATAGAGGGTGGCGCCCCAACCCCCCTCCACGGGCCTTGCTCTGTGTGTGACAGGGTAGAGCCATAACCTCCCCATTGGCCCTGCCCTGAGTGTGACAGGGTGCAGCGCCCCAACCCCCCTCCACGGGCCTTGCTCTGTGTGTGACAGGGTAGAGCCATAACCTCCCCATTGGCCCTGCTCTGTGTGTGACAGGGGGTGGCACTGCAACCTCCCCATCGACCCTGCCTTGAGCGTGACAGGGGGCGGCGGCCCAACCCCCCAATCGGCCCTACCCTGAGCGTGACTGAGGGTGGCATCGCAACCTCCCGATCCGCCCTGCTCTGTGCATGACAGGGGGCGGCGCCCCAACTCCCCAATCAGCCCTGCTCTGAGCCCGACCAGGGGCTGCACCTAGGGATTGGGCCTGCCCTCTGCCACCCAGGAGCAGGCCTAAGCCAGCAGGTCGTTATCTCCCGAGGGGTCCCAGACTGCGAGAGGGCTCAGGCCGGGCTGGGGGACACCCCCCCCGCCCCGAGTGCACAAATTTTTGTGCACCGGGCCTCTAGTATAAATATAAAACAAAAGACTAGTGAATTTGACCAGTATCCCAATTCTACAACTTAACCTCAGCCTATAAAGTTCTAGACTTGTTACCTTAAAATGCATCAGTAGCCCTGGACGGTGTGGCTCAGTTGGCTGCAGCACTGTCCTGTACACCAAAATGTGGCAGGTTTGATTCCCGGTCAGGGCTCATACCCGTGTTGCGGGCAGCAGGCAATAGATCTATGTTTCTCTCTCACCTCTCTCTCTCTCTCTCTCTCTCCCTTCTTGCCCTTCTTTCCCTTCCTCTCTCTAACATCAATTACAATTTTTTTTTTACAGAGAGAGAAAAAAAGATAAAACACACCAGTAGTCCCAATTCATGAATGCTATGACCAACTACTTAAGAGGACATATCTATCACAGTTCCTATATCCCAGTAGTTTATCAGAAGGGGAGGAAGGAAGAGAGCCCAACAGTCTGACCAGTGTGGGTATCAGCTCTGAATCTGCTGGCCCCCTTGGATTCAGCATTCCCAACCACAGCACTTTGGCATATAAAACAGATTCTCCCACTAAGGTTTCATAATGAAGCACCCATGGGTAACATATAAAGAAACATTTTTAAAGGCCCTAGTCTCTCTTCTTTAAATTAAAAAAAAAATTAAGCATAATATACTGTTTATACTATAATTATTTTGTAAAGAAAGGAAAAATATTAACTTTTAACCCGATACAGTTTATTATTGAGTTACAAACAAGAAAATGGAGTTATTAAAACTCTAATTATCAAATAAAAGATGTATTAGAACACTTCAATGACTATATGTTTTAATGTGAAAATAGCACTTCTGTTCCTTTAAGTGAATTAAATTTAAAATATGATTTTAAAAAATAGTTCAATAGCACTAAATGTTACTTTATAAACTGGAAATTTATACTTATAAAAGACCTGAATGCCATTTTTAAACCTAAAAATTACAATACAAAAACCTTTCATTTGCTGAAATTGCCATGATCTGAAGTGTCATTTACTTAATGCTTCACAGATGTATGATGCCAAATTGTTAGTCAGACTGCAAAGTATATTTAGTTAGGAAAAAAAATCTTCCAAAACATGTTTTCCTATATTTTACTGACATTTACATGCGGCACTATTTGAAATGTGTCATTTATTTGCACTTTATGATCTATAAATGAAGCTCTCATTTTCTTTTTCCAAATCAAACACGTTGTTATTGTGACCACATAATAGCTCTTTGTTTAAAGACACCATTGTGTGTATAATCCCTCAAACCAGGGTCATGTGCTACTTTGTCAGATTTTTAACTGGACTTTTCATCACACTTACTCTTTGACCTTTACCCCAAGAGTCTTAGTCATCACTGAACGGTTGCTGGGAGGATGTTTTGCTACACAATTGAGCCCCCTATTTATCACGAGCCTTAATGTGCTTGTAGTAAGCCTGGGTGCATTGTCGGGACAGCACTAATTTACCACCAGGTCAGTATTACAAGAGCACGAATAAAGAATTTGGCTAACAGTTCATTGGTCTGTCCTGTGGCAATATGAGTATGTGTAAATAAATGGAAAATTTGGTATCTATTAATATGTATAAAGGGCTTTTAAATGTCATGACTGTACCAAGAGAGTCCATTATGGATCAAGTACAATCAGCAATACTAGAGTAAATATGACTAAGAAACTGAAATGAAAATGGGAATATTAAGACAAAGGAATTTTTCTGACTAAAACCTATGTGAATAATTAACATAGCTCTCTGTGTATTACTCAGACCCTTTAAAATCTCTTATTACATTAACTGCAAAACAGTAGAGTGGGGTAAAACCTTTTATAGGCTCCCCAACAATGCACAGGCTGTTTCTGTAGCAGTTATAACTATGCATATATTAAATTCACCAATTTCCAAGGAACAGATTGTGTCATACTTTGCTATATCTGTAACACACACTCTCTTAAACATATAATGAAGTAAAGTTAAAAGCTTACTTACAGAAACTCAATTGTCGACTTTCACAGAATTCTGCATATTGGGCTGAATCCATAATTCGAGTTTGTCTTTCTGCTCTCTAATAGACAAAAATAAAAAAGCACAAAAACACTTTGAAAGCAACTAGACTATTGTATATGTTTTCACAGCTAAAACTTAGAACTGAAGTTCCATGTTCCTTGCCTTACTCTTGGCGAATAGATTAGCACTACCCAAAATACCATGACACATAAAATTAAAAGTAACCGTTTTGAAGCTTGTTTCTTTTGGAAATAAAGTTTAAAATACCATTTTCCACTCCTCTGTTATTGTCATTATAGTGGAAGAAGAAACCAAAGGACCTCACTTCTCAGATTGTGCGCTTCTAACTTTTCTAAACTGTACCATCCTTTAATTAAAAAAAAAAAAAGAAAAAAGAAAAGAAAGAAAGAAAACTGTGAGAAGACAATAACCAGTCACATAGGAAAATTGTTATTAATGATTATGGTCCATCTGCCCTAAAGCTGGGATTTTTAAATATTAAATAGGAGTCAACAAATGGGATCCATAGATTTCCCTTCAGTTAGAACATGGAGCCAGAGCTAACAAATCCATATTTTAAATTGCAAAGAAAATAAAGAAAAAGGTAAACACAACACAAATCCTTTCATCCGAGTCCAGGTATGACTCACAGTTTGGTATAGCTTCACTCGTGGGTTTCTGATTCAGTAGAGCAGATGTTTGCTGCTTCATTGTCCCACACGAGGTAGGATAATTATAATTCACCCACAGTTTGGTGGGAAAGAATACGACCGCTTCCGCTTCCTTGGCAAGGGAAGCATTTTGAAATGAGACAGGCTGGTACTTCTTGGAATGAATTTCTGGCCAGTAAAGGAAAAAATTCCCTGAGATTTTAATTTTTTTCTGCTTTGGAAGGACTTTCATCAAGTTTTCTTTATCATAGTTGTTGGAGTACATAAGTACCACTTACAATGTCTGTGGATATTTTTATATTTTTTAAACTAAAATTATTCTGTTTTTCATTTCATTTGATTGGGGGGAGTGATCAACTTAACTCCAATGATATATCAGTTGATGGGATGAGCAATGGTACACTAGTTTCAGCTCAATACTGAAAAGATATAGACGGGGTGGTGGGAGGCAAGTTAACATTTACTAACTACTGTGGTTCCTTCTAAGACCACTGAGTACATTTTCCCTTCTTTCTCTTCCTTCCCTCCCTCTGTCTCTTTTTTTTCCTTTCTAATCTCCCACACACATACAAACACATATATGCACTGACACAAACCAAGACTTTTGTTTACTTACTCTATAGTTCAAGTATCCTTTCTGAGCACATGCAAGTAAATATTACACACACACGTGTGTGTGTGTGTGTGTGTGTGTGTGTGTGTGTGTGTGTATGCATCCTTGTGTGTGGATACGAAACATCATGGTCCTTAAGGGTACAATACTTTGTGAATTTTATGTACTTAGAAGTATTTTTTGATATGTGAATGCATGACTTAGTTTTGTCCTTTTTAAACGTAACTGAAACAACATTTTTTGCTACTGGGGAACAGGAAGTAAGGATGGGATAATTTTTGTGTTTTGAACATAAATCAATTACTATTGTGCTTATTAAAACTTCTAAGACTGATAATACTCTATCATGGCTGTCTGTCTGTCTGAGTTTGACTATAGCAGGAACTTCTCAGGTTTGAATTTCTAGAAAATATCTGACATGGTAAATAAACAAACATTCACGAATGAACAAGTGCTACCATTTTAGTCTGAATCAGGGAAAATGGCTATCACCATAAGGCAGCCAGTCTTTTAAAGAGTGATTGTCTAGCATTACTATTTGTCTTCTTTGCTACTTTATAGCGAGGCAGCCTCATCCACCCAACACATGCTGGACAGAAAGGGCTTAGATAAGCATGAAAAAGACAAAGTTCCGAACGGGATTCTTAAGATGAACTTTTCTTCTACCAAGCTGAATAATCAAGATTTGACTTTTACATCTATGCTTAGGTCACTGATGTCCCAACAGTAAGCATTTCTAGAAATGGGAGTTGGGAGTACTTATCCTAAGAGGTTAAGGCTGCCAGGCTGCCAGCTATAATTGAGGTGTGTAGCTAGCTGGAAGATTCTGAGCCACGAAGCCTATCATTTGATTACATTTAAGAGACACTAAAAGCCTTTCAACGATTACAGCTAGCTTCATTCCTTCTCGACACTGTCTTCAGTGTCTGTTCTCTTTTCTTCATTCAGCATCTTAGTTTGATTTCAATTCCTCTGTCACTTAAGCAGTAACCTTAGATCTCGGGAGTGCCATGAAGCTGGCCCTCGGGCATGCATGGAACCATTCACTAAATGCCTAGCACACAGCAAACAGTGCAAAGTAGTTGACTCAACAGCAAAGATTTATAGGCATACAAAATGATGGCATGTTAGAGCTGGAGGGTGGCTTAACCTTCACCTCGTTCCATCCTCTCATTTTAAGGATAAGGAAATTGAGGTCCAGGGAGAATTCAGAAGTCTAGGCCTACTGATTCCTGAGCCACCTAGTTTCATTATAAAAAGCTGTCTCCAACCTGTAGTACTTTATACCTCCAATAATTTTCTTTGGAATTCTGTAAACTCTATACATTGTGTTACTAAAACATGTCCTGTAGCCCCTATAATTAACATGCCTAAACTATTCATGAGAAAATAAAATTAGTGGGGCCCTGTTTCAGCAAAGAAGGCACAGCCCGGGGAGTGCCGAGTGCACAGGTTGTGATGAACCTGACAGTGTACTGGATGCTGGAAAGGTGCCACAGGTGTGTGGAGTCACTGTTTCTCTTCCACCTTCTGGAAGCCACAAAAGGCAGGGGTGCAGGACCCCAGAGGTGGTATCTGGCTAAAAGTTGCCTTGTCCATTGACCTTGGTGGGGCATGAAAATATTACCATTTTCTATGTGAGCCATGGCCTGGAAAAGCATGCACACTGCTCAGAGCGTGGTGCAGTGAGCTCAACGTGAAATCAGACACAACCTGGGATGTGAGGATGATGAGGGCGGCGCCTCTCTCTTCCCCATGAATTGTTTCAAATAACCAAAAAAGAGAGACCAATGTGCCTTATAAAACAATTACCACCATTCAGCATCTGCTTATACTACCTCCTGTCCTTACACTATCACCTTAAGTCCTGGGGAAGAAAGGAAATACCTAACCTTCATGGACTCTGTGTTCTTTAAAAACAGTAACTATGTTTTGCTTCTATAATCAAGTATTGGCCAATGTTTAGCTTGGATTTACTGGGCCTCGGTAAATGTTTGCTGGCTCGCTGAATGACTGGGCAGATGGATTGACGGACTGAGGCAAAAGAAATGCATATAAATTCTTGTTGGCTGATCTAAAATCAGAAACTGTAATATCAGTAATCAAACTATGAATTCCAGAGAGGGTAGGTAGTCTTTTTAACCAAAGACCCATAAAAAAATCAAGACACTGGCCAACGATTAAATAAGTTTGGCTTTTATTTTCTGTGTTGTCCTATTTCCACTTTCCCTCTGCTCTATGCAGATGACCTGTTCTAATCCCCACGGAAGCACACACTGGCCGTCCTGTTTTACTCCTGCCACAGTAAAAACATCTCTGGAAAAGATGCAAGAGGTAAAAATCACACACCTAGTAAAGCAGCATGATCAGAATAACAATGCCTACTCTTTACATACAGCGACATCATAACCTTTAAGATAAACAGTTAATTTAAAGCATACAGTTCATAAAGTAAAACTTGGGTCCTAAATGACCTAGTCTGTGGTATATCACTGAATCATCAGAGTAGGTTTATCATAGTGTTTATTCATACTGAACATTCTCAAATTACTCAATGTTCTTCTGATCTCAGACTGCCACATGAATGTAAGGTCACTGCTGGGTTAGTCAGCTCCCGTATCTGCGAGACCAGTTGTCATCTGTCAGCTCCACCCACTCCGTGACTTCTTTAAGCATCAGCAGTGCTTTTTTTCTTTCTTTCTTTTTTTTAAAAATTAAATTTATTGGGGTGACATTGGTCAACATCAACATATAGGTTTCAGGTGTGGGTTTCTATGTTATAAGATCTGTATATTGTGCCGTGTGCCCACCACTCAAAGTAGCAGTGCTCTTGAACACTCAAAAATGTGCTACACGCTCAGAGGTTTTTCTGAAATGGAACTTCACTAGTGTTACCATACGGCGAAGGATTACCATATAGGGGCAGACATAGAAAAATTACTTTTGAAAGAATTACTCCTAAAATTTTCTAAACACTCAACAATATTTTTAACATGAATTGGAATGGCTCTTAAAAATGTAAACCAGAATAAGTTATGTTGTTAATTGTTCACTCATCTCACTACCAAGAAGTTACAGCCTTTTCTGGTTATTGTAAAACAAACTGAGAAGGCGAATGCCATGCCAGATGAACTCGTCTTGGGGTCCAACCGAAATGAAAACAGGGAAGCAAATAGCTCTACGATGCAGTACCTACTACAATTTGTGTGTTTGTTTAATCTTGAACACAGCAGACGCTTAGTATATATTTGTTAATTTAAATTTTTGGTTTAAAGTTTTTATTTCGATTAATGTGAAATTGGTTGTGTCTTTGAATAAGCCTTTCAGCGTGACAGGCAGCGTCTGCCCTGCCAGCACCAGTTTGTGTCCTTGCGTCTCAGGCTGGCAGACTTGCGCAGCACGCAGTTCACTTCCATCCTCCACAGGCTTTCAGTGAAGCGTATGAAAGGTTATAGAAGTTCTGTGCTGGCATATCTCTTGGCAGCTTTTCAAGACACATGACATTTATCTTTCCTCAGCAATACTGAATCAGAGAACATAACTTTAAACCGAGATGAAAGTTTCTCTGCTCTCACTTCCACCTCAGATTTTTAAAAAAATCTTATTTTGATTACTCTTAGAAGTCTTACATTGGAAATGCAAAGTCCTTTCTGCACAAAAAAGGCAAAATGCCAATGTAACCTACCAGCTTCTTCATGTTAGACAGAAACTGGTTGCTGGACTTGAAAACTTCAGATGGAGTGGTGGGCAGCGGCAGCCAGCAACCTGGCAACA